TTCTGTATCCTTCCCTTCAAGGCTCAGGGGTCCAAGATTATCTTCTGTGTCTGTGTCAATTGGTTTCCCTTGTCTTTGTTGAAGAGGGTCTGTGCAGTCCTTCTGCCTAGTCCGCCATCTTGCCGGAACTCCTCTGGATCATCTTTTTTACCTCCCTCACCAGGTCAGGCCACTTTGAACCCTCTCTTTCCAAGCACTTCAGTTACTATTTTGTATTTCTCCATTTGATGAACATCTTCCTCCCCCACCAAACTGGAAACTCTTTGTTGACAAGAAGTTATTCTCTTTAGCTCCTCTGGCATTACTCCCACAGTATTACCCAGCTACTACTATCATACAGGGAGCTCTGGTAACACAGTGGCTAAGGCACTTGACTGCTAACCAGAAGGCTGGTGGTTCAAACCCACCAGCCACTCCTCAGAAGGAAGATGGGGCTATCTACTTCCATAGTGATACTGCCTCAGAAACCCAAGGAGGGGTCGCTATGAGTTAGGTCCGACTTGACGGCACATAACAACAACAACAACACTATCACACAGCAGGCACATAATAAATACTTGGTGATTTATTTAATGGATGAATGAAAGAACCCATTGATTTCATTCACCTTTATCTCTCTCTTTGGGTGGAGCCTCTGGTGGCAAATGGTTAAGCACTTGACTACTAACAAAATGTTGTCAACTCAAACCCACCCAGAAGCACTTTGAAGAAAGCCCTGGTGACCTCCTTCCTATGGGTCATAGGTGATGCTTTATATTTTAGGACCATTTCCAGAACTAGTTGTAATGATTTGATTTGAGAAACTGAAATTCATCCTAATCTCTATATGTTTTGATGATGCCATTATCCTACAAAAAATAAATCAGCACTCTGTGGTCTAGGTGTTATGTTGATGAGCAAATATTTTTATTGTAGCTTGGATTTGAGATATAATTTTTATATTCAGTTAAAATTATGATTTTTTTTAAAGTTAAGTCTGGTATCTTGGCAATTCCAAGACTAATTTAAAAAAAAAAAAACTATTCTGTATTGGGTATTGAAGTATGAGGTGCCCTGGTATTTAGTATTTAATGAGTAATAACATGAATTATAAGGTAATTTTAGGATGTGACAGAAAACTTAGATCCATTTAGAAGACAGCCAAAAAAATGAAAAAAAGTGATTATTGAATAATCAGAAAAGAGTGTCATTAATCTTTCTTTAAAATTCATTTTAAACACTTTATTACACTTTGAAATGATTTTCTCTTCTTATTATTTTTATTGGTTTGTTTTGATAATGAGATAAGAAAAGATATGAAGGACTCTGGGGAGTGGTTACAGCATCAAAAGGTGGACTAGTTGATGTCTCTTCTTGAACTAAATTGGAAGTAATCAAACATCTCTCACTCTAAGGAGATCACAAATTACTAGAAGCACTGGCAAGGATATCTGATACTTAGGAGACTTTGGGGCACTTGGAGTACCAGTACCTGAGATTTATACCAGGAAGTCATTTGATTCTTGGGAAGGGTTGAGCTAGCTTGCAAGCCTTTATGCAGAAGGTCAAGGCTAAATAAATTAGTCATTTAAAATATAGTAATTGAGCATAGTATCTAATTGTTGATACTATTGAGTTGAGGCTTTTATACTATGTTCCATGCAAATTTTATATTATAATTAGTAAATATTACAAGTTCTTTTTTTAAAAAAACAATAATTTTGAAAGGCAAAAGCATCCTGAATTCCCTTTGTCTCAATTAACCCAATAAGTTGAGCCTCTCACATCACAAGTAAACTTAACATTGCAACATCATGCATTGTGAGGAAATGAATTGCCTCAGGGGTATCAGGCTGCACATGCATTGCTGTGAAACAAGGTTAAATACTGCCATATCAGATGAGAAACACAGATCACCCAAAAGTGGATCCAAAAAGAATAGTGTTCTATGGTATTCACTTCACTTGTGGCTCTTGGATAGAGAACTATGGAATGACCTTTGCCAGATGAGTTTCTGGACAGCACAAGATAGAAGTAGCCAACAGAAGAAAGTCCATGTAGGGCAGGAGACACAGTAGCAGCTTCAGCAGGAGGAATGGGAAATGCAATAGGTTTTGCAGGTAGAGGCTTGTCGTCTCTTCTTTCTTGAATTACCAGTAACTACCTCTTCACTGAGATAGGAGCTCTGGTGGTGTAGCGCCTAAGACATTTCACTGCTAACCAGAAGGCTGGGGTTCAAACCTACTAACCACTCCTCAAAAGAAAGACTGGACAATCTACTTCCGTAGAGATACCACCTTGGAAACCCAAGGAGGGGTCACTGTGAGTCGGAACTGACTCTATGGCAATGAGTGTGTTTGTTTGTTTGTTTGTTTGTTTAATCTCTTCACTGAGGAGCTCTGGTGGTGCTGTGGGAATAGCATTGCATTGCTAACCAAAAGTTCAGCGGTTTGAACCCACCACCTCTCCATGGGAGAAAGGTAAAGATTTACAGCCTTGGAAACCCTATGGGGCAGTTCAATGCTATCCTGTAAAATCACTATGAGTTAGAATTGACTCAATGACAATGGACTTTTTTTTTTTTTAATCTCTTTACTGGGTACAAAGTGTTGTCACCCTCTGCTGCTAACCCCAAAAAAGTACCTCAGCCAAAAAGCCTAATGATCCACTTCCAAAAACATCCAGCATTGAAAACTCTATGGGGCACAGTTCTACTCTGGTCACCGTCAGCCAGAATCCACTCCGTGGCCACAGGTGATGGTGGTGGATCTCTACTAATATCACAGATGACAGCAGGTTAAGACTCAAAGTAAACTTGGAAATCAGTTAGTCCAACTCACTTACCTTTTAGAGATGAAACCCAAGACTCAGAACAAATAAAAAACTTTCCCCAATATATTTTTGTATTTATGTTTGAATGTCAGTGTGGGACTGGATAGCACTTCAGACCAGATAAGAATCATTGATGCTAAGTGGGAAGGAAATATGCATGCATTCAGTTCCTTGACTGGAACAGCTCCCAGTGACAAAAAAAGGCAGTGACAGCCCTTGGCAGAAGCAGCAGCCTAACCCGAGTTCCCTTTGCAATATGAGCAAAGTATTTTGAAACAGAATTCAGTGTTGGGGCTCAAAGGAACCTTCTGGAGGGCACAGATTGCCCTGGGAAATGAAAGTTAACCTGACAAAAGTGAATGGTGTTAGCATTGAACATTTTCTCTTAATTATGTTAATTAAATCTTAAAAGGAAGGTTTCCTAGGAATTAGTTACGTGTAGATAAACAAAACAGCTGCAGATAAAATTCCTTAAAGAATGAATCTTGGATCTTGCTAAATTATTAGAGTCCTAGAATTCACACTCTCATTTTACCTTACAGGCTCTTTATTGTCTATATTTTATGTAACATAACTTCTGTGGGAAAGAAAAAATTCTAATTGGAAAAGGGTGGGGCTAAAGGATTGTATGGCAATCTTTCTGTGGAAAATCCATTGTATTCCTTCCCATATGTGAAGACCAGAATCCCATGAGGTACTTTTACACTTCCAGAGTCTCCTTTCAGAGCTCACTTTGACAATCCACACTGTATGACATTTTCAGCCTTCATGGACTAAGATCTAGTTTGCTTGCTCTTCTGCACCCAGTGCAGGGAGGGATGAGATACACCCTAGGCCTCTCTTAAGGAAACTTTAGCTTTCATTGGTCAGCTCCTTCTCCAGGGACCATACCAACATCTACAAAACACTTTTGTTCAAAATAGAAAAAGTCACTCAGGGCTATAGATCTAAGCTGTCTTTTTCCATTGATAGGGGAACCCTCACTTTTCTTCCCTTCTTAGGCAAACAAGCAGAATCCCCAATCCTTGGCACATAGTGAAAACATGAAGGATCCTAGTGGAACATTTCATGACTGAGATTTTGCTTTTTCACAACAGAGAACATGACTGATATAAACCACCTCATTGTGCACAGAGAAGGGACCCCCCCTTCTCAGTTCATAGCCCCCCAGGTTGCCTGGAGTCAGCTGATCTTCCGGGGACCCACTTACAGCTCTCTACATTGGATATGTGTCAGAGACTCTTCTAGCTCCTGTTCCAACCTTTCAGTATTAGAGACTTCCCAACCCCTTCCACCATCTGCCTATCCCATGTTCTGCACAGTGAGATCCAAACTCACAGATGCCCCGTGCTGTAAATAGTTCTAGATCTTGAGGTAGCATCAGGTGCCTTTTTGTCCCTTTAACTGTGCTAGATATTCTCTGTTCATTTCTTCCTGTTTTCTATTTATAAAGCTTCCTTTGAAGTAAGGTTGGGTTTTTTTGTTTGTTTGTTTTTACCAGAAATGTAGCTTTATCCAATTTGAGTATCCAAATTGAGTATCAGAGTATTCCAATGTAGAATATTAAAGTCGGTAGCTATATTCTTATGTACCCCAAAAGCAGAAAGATTATAATCTCTCCCACCCAAATGGCCATAAGTATCTGCAACCTCATAATTAGGTTTGAGAGAAAAGGTTAGTTACAAAACAGTTCTGAAGTTTTTGTTAAATGAATTAGTTGCTTCCTAATTGCTTGTTATTCAAATATGAATGTTGATTTTTAAGACCCAATTTAACACAATTTTCACTATTTCTGCAGCTCCTGAAATTCTCAGAGGCTGTGCCTATGGACCTGAGGTGGACATGTGGTCTGTAGGAATAATCACCTACATCTTGTAAGTGAAGATTTTGTGCAAGCTGTTAGTCATTGCCATAACAATTTCTAGGTCCCTACAGTCTTCAAAGAAGGCAAGATTACTTTCTGACAGTCAGTGATTTGTTTATTTATTTATTCATTGCACACTGAATGTAGTTTGTGAAAGAATTTTCTGAAAATGAGCATTGTTTTTTATTTTGTAATTTTCTTGGTGCCAAAATTTCTGTACAGAACTTTTCTGGGTCTCATTCTACTTTACAACACATAGAAAATTTGGGGGACAATTCAGTGTTTGAAGATAGTGATGAATGTGAAACTCACAACCACCTTTAAGCTTGCTCTTGTTTTACTCTTTTTCATCTTATCTAAAATAATGAAAGTTTTAGTCCTTTCAAAGGGCAAATGGGTTTTTAATTCATTAAAGAGTCCCAAATGATTCATTTCTAATTAGAAAAGTTTTAAATGAATTTTGACTGTGATTTTGTTTCCTACCTCTGTTAGGTTTTCAAGCACCTTGGGTTTAATGCACTACACAAATTTCTCTGGGAGAAAATGGTCTAAACACTTCATTCTTTGTTATCTCCACTTCCATTCCTAAACTCCTGTCTAATAATAAATAGGGCATTTCAGGAAATTTGCCAAAAATTTGATGGAAATACAGATGATAAGGAAAAAATAAGCAAAAATGACAGAAGAGTGTCTGCAAATGAAGATTTCTGTAGAACAACTACAAAGCAGGATATCAATGAGCTTAAGAGTTCAATTCAAAACAAGTAGATTGGGTTACCATTTATTTACATGATTTTAATCTATGAGAATGGAAGGCCTAGGGCTCAGAGTAAAGGGCCCAGAACAAAACATGGAATATACAGTGATATGTGCTCACTGCTCACTAAAGGACAAGAGCTGAAAGCAAAGCAGACAAGAGCTCTGCTTTAGACATTCAGCTGACAGAAGGCACTGCAGTTATTGTTGGAACCGTAACATCAAAATCTGCAAAGAGATTTTTTTGCGGGGAGGTAAGAAAGAAAGAGCTTAAAAATATGTATAATGATCTTGAAAGTGTAGTAGTGTCCAGGTAATATGAGCCAGGAATGGAAAAAATTAGAGTAGCACCTGCAAGCAAGATAGCAAACTCTTAAGTTCTCTTTGGTCAGTGGCCAGGGCAAATAGGTCTAACAAGCAACCTGTAAAACAGCTAATAAAAACTATCAGAAGATATTTTTGCTATTCAATTCCCTGTTTCTAGAATGCATTAAAAGCTTGAGAAGAATTTAGAGAGATGGAGAACTGTATTTTTTCTTATGAAAATACAAACTGTTAGATCATAAATTCTATTTGCCACACTAAATGCATAATTCATTTAAATGAACCCTTAAGGTTACATCATAGAATACCTTCTGATTGTACATGACTTCACTTTTACACTGGGCAAAGAATGTTGTCACCTGAATTATGTAGGTGACATATCATAGTTAGTGTCATTCAGTGAAAAACTGAACTACACAAACAGGAGCTGAGTTTGCCACCCAAAGTAAATGAACCCATTGCAATTTTATTTTGAAATTATGCTAAGGGGGACTGAAGCATTAAAGGTGTAAAAGAATGTGGACAGATGGAGGTAGCAAATTAAATTATTTCACTCTACAAAACTGGAATTTAGAATTCATGAAATAATGATACAGTCACTGGTGTGGGAAAATGAAGGAAAAATTGTGATAATTGAGGAACATTTTATAATGTCCTGAAGATAATGGTTAAAAAAAAAAAATCCATCAAGTTCCTTTCAACTAGCCCATTACCAAATTATATAAGATATTTATTATATCCTGATACATTTAAGGAGGGAGCTCTGGTGGTGTAGTGCCTAAGGCATTTGACTGCTAACCAGAAGGCTGGCCATTCATTAGTAGGTATTGGTTTAAAGTTAGCATTAGTAGCTGCAAAGTGAAAATAATAGTGCTACTCACAACTGACATACTTTAGTTCCAGGTTAACTTCTGTCAGTCCCTAAACCTGGAGAATTTTTATTTAACCTTTAGTTAAGTAACAGTCGATGAAGTCTACCTGGCAAGAGTTAGTTTTCCAGTGGACTGTGCCATTGGACCTGCATCTTTCTCTCTTTTTTAAAAATAACATTTTGTTGTATTTTTATTGAAACTTTACACAACAGCTTAGGTTCTCATTCAACAATTTCTGTAGCAGTTCCTGAGTAATAACTGTTTACATTCTTCACAGTATGCTGTCATTTTCGTTGTTTACATTCTGATTGTTCTGTTTCTGTTCATCTCATTTCTCTGCCCCCCTTACATTCTCTTCTTCTTTGTTTTAAAGTAATTGTTGACTGTGGGGTCATATAGGTAATTTTTTAAAAAAAGGACGCAGTACTTTTAAAAGGGTGATTTCATCATTTTGTAAGACAATTTGTAATTTAGCTATCTCAGGTGACCTCTTGGGTTAGTTTTAGCTCAAGATTTAAAGACTATCTCAAGGCAATAATCTTGGGGAGTCCTCAGTCTCAACCAGTCCAGCATGTCTTTTATTATTATTATTATTTCTAGATTTTTTTAGGAATTTTAAGTTCTCTTCCACATTTTTTCTCCCATGGTCTATCTTTCTATCTTGGTCCATCTATTGTGGCCCTGATTGGAATAGTTGGTAATGGTAGCAGGGCTGGTCTCAGGGTAGATGAGGTTTTGTGGATCTGCATATCTCTTAATTGTGCCATGTTAGCTTTGATGCACACTTAGTGGCCTACTGGTGACCTGAGACTGTGACTTCTAGATACCAGACTCATGCCCTGGGAGGGGCTTGGAGCCAAATGGAACAAAGTACAGAAGTAACAGAGTGAAAAATTAGGACCAAGGGTCCATTTTCTCTTGATGTTGTCTGGGAAAGTAAATATTATAATGAGGCTACCTTATGAACCATAGTCAAATCCTTTCTCTTACCCTCCAAAGGTTGAGGATGTGTTTTACATCCACTTGTCTGTATGTACATAAACTCTACAGCTTATTTTTCAAATAAAGCCATGAATAAAAGTTCAATTCTTACTCTCGGTGTAGAGACTTCTGTTCATTTTGCCCCTCTTATTGTGGTAGGTAGTTGTTGCTACATTATAGCATTTTACTTTCTCCTTTGTGAAAGATCTAACCTGTCACTATCAGGCTATTTTGTGCCATGACTTTACTGTTGCTCAAGATGACATTGGGCTGAAACTCAATAATGACCAGAATTACTGGTCAGAGGAAGTCTGATGAGACCCCCAATACTATGGCCCTGGAATACATTCTGCCCCTGGAATAAAGCTCACCCCCAGGGGCTGGCTCTCAGCCCAATAGTTAACAAGATGTACATGCAGACCACCCAACCCAGGATGCTTCACCCACATACTCTATGATAATACATCTCTTAGAACAATGGACCACAGGGCACCAGAGGACCAACATTCAGGTTGAGGAAATACAGGACAAACAGGAGTGCATAAATATGAGAGGCACAAGGGGAGGGTTACAGGGTAGGGAAGTGAGGAGAAAGGGTTAGGGCTGGACATGGTAAATGGGGAGTGAAACTAACTATACACATAATGTTGAATTTAAAACAAGCTCTTAAAATTAAAAAAATATAAAGATTACATTGGGCTGGAATGATGGTCATTCTGTTGCTTCTGCCAGCAATTCTGGTCACTCTCTTTTACCCCACAGCCAAAATCTGCAGGGCTGGGCCTGTTAGATCATTAATTCTATTTGCCACACTAAGTGCATAGTTTCTTAAAATGAATCCTTAAGGCTGCATCATAGAATTCCTTCTGCTTGTATATACTTTTATGCTAAAAAAAAAAAAACCTTACTGCCATCAAGTCAGTCCCAACTCATAGTGACCCCTCCTTGGGTTTCCAAGGCAGTATCTCTATGGACGTAAATTGCCCAGTCTTCCTTCCAAGGAGTGGCTGGTGGGTTTGAACCACCAGCCTTTTAGTTAGCAATCAAATGCCTTAGGTACTACACCACCAGAGTGCCTACTTTCACACTGGGGAATGAATATTGTTCTTTTTCATTCTTACTTCTTACCACCGCAATGAGCAGATCTGAATCAGGAAGGGTCAGAGACCAAACTCTCTCTTCAACTCTCAGCACTACAGTTCTACCCAAAGTCTTGAAGCTACCCTGAACTGTATATTCATAGTTGAGGCTTGTAAAATCCCATATTTTCCTAAACTGTCACTGGTGGCATTAAAATATTACCATTCTGAAGTATATTTGCACCATGTGTATGTGTGCACATGCAAGCACAGACTCATATGTGCATGTGGATTTCCACTCAGTGTGACATTTTTCCCATATTTGGTGTTTCAGGCTGACATGACACAAACTTTTCACCTCTGTCACCAAAGTACAACTTCTCTGACATGATTGAGATGAAAGAGGAGGCATTCAGGCACTGAGTCTTCTGGATTGTCACTCTCTCTAGAATTTCAGAAGGAGAAATGTGACCAAAAAAAAAAAGAAAAACACTCACTGCCATCAAGTCAGTTCTGACTCATAGTAACCTCCACTGGGTTTTCAAGGCTGTAAATCTTTATGGAAGCAGACTGCCTTATCTTTCTTCTGCAGAGCAGTGGATAGGTTTGAACCACTGATCTTTTGATTAGCAGACAAATGCCTGAACCACTATACCACACAGCTATGTTTGGAAAGTTGACTAATGTCTCCATTACTACTCAACTATAGGCCATACTTTTCTGTTATTGGAGAGGATGGAAAGGGCCAGGCAAGGCTCTTCCCCTTCTTTTCAAGGTTTGGAAGTGTGTGTCCCACTTCTCTTCTTCTGCTTTATGTCTACAGGTAGGCTGGGAGCAGGAGGTTCTGGGCAGACTGCTACAGTAGAGAAAGGGAGGACCCTTTGGCTCAGGCCTCAGCACTCCCAGCCTTCCCTTTCCTTGCTGGCTCCAAAGTAGTTGAAAGAGATAAGGACTGTCCCAGTGGGACATTCCCTGTGCAAAAGAACATGAGAAATAGCCTCTTCCTAGAAACCCACCACATTGGGAGGCATTTGAGGTTTTCCAGCTCTGCATGAACCTAGCTGGTTTGAGGGAAGAATTTGCACAAAGATATACTTAAGACTATTCTCTTTCTTACTTTTCTTTTGTCCTTTATGAAATTCAACACACTCAGCACATACCCTGGTAGT